GTTCTACTTACACTTGACACACGCACTTTCACACGACACTATATACATCCTAGACACTATTTACACTAAGGATAGATTTTGAAATAAGGCTATGTACAGTTTTTCGAATATTAAAGTGCTTTTCGCCTAATTTTGCGTGAAAATGCGGGCAAGAAAGTACATGCTGTTTTAGTACCATAGTTTTCAAATGTTGCTAATCTCGTACTTTTTAATTATTATTATTAATTTTGGTTTGATTTTTAAACTTTTTCAATGGTCTTTCAACCATTTATAGTAAAAGAGTGAAGAAGGGATTCTGGAGCTCAAGAAAACGAGCGCAGATGTTACTCTCCCAACCCTTTACGACTTATTCAATTTTTACTGTTCTTTGACTAAATGAAATTAAGTGAAGTCAAACAAAATTTTAATAGATTCTTATTGTTTAAGAGAAAAATGTAATTATTTCCTAAACTGTCAAATTTAATAATAATGTGTTCCGAGTAATAGATGCTAGATGATTCATTTCGTTTTCGGGGCTTGCATTGACGATGTTATAGTTACAGAATTAATCATGTAAAATCGAAATTTGTGTTCTTTTTACTTTCTCACTACGGAGTAGAGAGGAAGTCATGTAATGCTGTGTGAAAAAACGGCAAATTTTCAGCAGAAACACTCTTATTACAGGGCCCTGGTAACGAAAAAGTTGATAAATGGTAGTAGAAATGTATATTCTCATATTATAATAGTACATAACCATTAACAACATAGTGAGAAAGTATGGGCTGTTGTAGCACCACTAGTTTCAGTTTATTGGTTTCGACACTTTTAATTTCAAATCTGCAGTATTCACGCATTTGTTAGATGCTTTCTATGATTCTTTTTAGCTAATAATCTTCTAAATCGTACATAGACGCTATTTTAAACAATAGATCCCGAAACTTTGAGAACATACATTTTATTGTTATTGTTAAGATTATATGCCTTTTAACAACAGGAATCACTTAAATGTACTTCTGGAGTTTATTTAGATTTTGGTTGAGCGGAAGTTGGCGGAGTCATGGTTCCTTTAATATCGACGTCCCTAGACCTCCATTTTTCCGCCAAATGATTTTTAAAATGAGTATTCGCATAAAATGCGTAGGTAATTTTGCGTTGGACAGACTCAAGGATGTTTTGTTTTTGTGTGAAAGCGGATGGCCCGAGCTTCGCTCTCAACTTGGACACGCGTAGCAAAGCGTCACAATTCCGCGCGCGTGAACCGTGACACCACCAATTTTCGATTTACCTAGGTTTTCAATTTACATTTTTTTAGATTCTGATGACTGTGTTTGGTATTTAGCCTGCCTTTTTCGTAATATTTTGCTTTATACTCCTGGAAGCGATCTCTGTCTACCAGGAAACGTATTTGCAACCCTGGACAACACGAAGGCACGGTCGTGACTTCCTCTGGAAGAGGAGGTTACAGGGCCAGTTAGTGCTAAAAATCTAATTGAAAAAGAAAGATGGCACCAGTCAAGATTTTTTATTCATTGATGCTGACGGACTTTGTTTGCTCACGAGAAATTCTACCCTACTTTTGGGCTGTGGCGGTTCGTGTTTTGTTTGTAAAATAAATGCCTGATCTCGCGGGCTCTATTAATCACTATGTGATAATAATTGAGTTTCCCCAAAGAATTTTTCATGTATATTAAATATAAAATGTATTTTATTTTCATTTGTTGACTTGTAACATAAACAATTAAAATATTGAATGACCTTCCTTAATATAAAAATTAGAGAAAGCTATAATTTTAATAGGAATTATTGGCTTCTATCTTCGTGATTTATGTGTAGTACTTACTATTCAATCAGTAAAGTGCATTTAACTTGTAGTTCTGTCAAAATGATAAACAGGATATCTAGCAGCGTATCGCAGTTTCGTCGTGGAGATGAGCATGAAGTTGCGGGGATGTAGATTGCGACGAAATCGAAAAATTATAAAAACAAAAAAAGTACACACACATTTTCTAAAGATACTTATACTTCTGAGGCCAAAACGGTTAAGGAATTATTTATTGCTAATAATATGAGGAACACTATTTTTTCACCTGAAACGAGTCATTCTGTTTGACTTTTACACAGGACGTATATCCAGTATCCAGAATCCAAATTGGTATAGGTATTGAAATTGGTATCGGTATTAGTATTGGTATAGTACAGTATTTTTTTCAATACCGAGGAGTTTAGAATATTTTCTAACCAACTTTGCTGAAAACAAAGTTGTTCTGCACTGGCGCTATAATATACGCCCGCGTACACCGCCACCTGTTATGTCTAATTAAAAAGTAAGGCTACTTGACAGAATTACGTGAGATGCAAGTATCCAACTGGAAGCTTTGTCTTACTTAATATTTTTATAATAAAGTTTTCGATTGGACAATGCGTCCCAGCTGACGAGAAGTTAATCCGTCGTGCATTTTAAACGAAGCATAGAGCGCTGATGGAATTGCGCGGGAACTCGGCTTTTGGCGCCTGGCTGTTGAGCTGATTAGATGAAGCACCTTGTGGGTTTCTTCGTTCAATTAACTGTTTGTTTTATTGAGAAACAATTTTTTTAACTTGTGATCAGGCTATCTGAAATTTTTCTCCAGCAGGCTCGTCTGTGACATTTTTAAAAAGGACGATTTGTGTATATTTGGTCTGACCACGATGCCGTCTATTTTGTGTACAGAATCATTTCCTTCTGAAGTTAAAGAAAGGTAAACGATTAAAGATTTTTTCACGTAGACCAAGATGTTTTCAACTTTATGTTTTAGAGTGGAAAAAATAATTTACTAATAGCAATCAAGGTGTCAAGTAGAAAATAGCCTGGGTGTATGGAAATTTGGACATTTGTTTATATTTTCAAAAAGCAGTACTTCCTCTTTCACCTATTACCTTTATTGTTTAAGCAAGTAGAAAATAAATGTATTTGTTTCTGAAAATTTATCATTCAGAATTAGTGTTTTTTACTATTCTTAATTTCTAATTAGAATTGCCAGCCAGAATATTAATACTATTTTTTCTAACCTGTCATTTGAAGAAAATAAGTGTTAAAAAGTAAATGTCTGTTGTATTACATTTGTGGAAAATTGTTTCTATTGTATTGCCTCTAGGCTTCAAGAATTGGAAAATGATTTTAAGGAAGGTGATCTCACAAAAAAAGGTTATTGTAAAAAAACATGGAAGCTGGTCGAGCCTCATGTTTCCTCAGCAGTAGCTGAAAAAGTGCATGCTTTACAAATTAAGTTTGCCAACTTTGATTTATCTGAGGTAGTTTTTATATTTTTATTGCACATTTCCACAAGGTTGATCATAAATATTTATACAGTTGTAAACCCACTTGCAGAGTGATTACTGTGAACAATTAATAGCTACATTGAAGTCTAGTAATATCACAGGGACGATTTCTGTGAAAAGTAAAGGAGTAAATGACACAGAAGACAAAAAATGTGTGGAAGGAAATGGAAATGGCTCTCTTGTATCATTCTGTGGGAGTAATGCTAATACTCCTAAACAAGAAAAAGATCCAGGAGAAATTAGTGAAGAACAGAGATCCCCTAGTAAATGTAATAACAACAATAACAATGGTAATGATTTACCAGATGCCCACCATTCTGAACCAGGGTCTTCTGGCCATGGTGCATCTGGTTCAGCACGGAAGTCTGCTTCCAAAAAGTTTAGATCTAATTTTGGTAAGTTTCTTAGATTAGTAAGTTATTACAACAGAATTCAATTTTAATAAGTTTTTCATTGTTCTCTAGGTGCTTCAAAAAAAAGGCAAACAGACCTTGTTTCTTTGTTTGAAAACCCCAAAAGAAAATCTCATGATAATAATGATAAAGAGATTATATCCCCTGATATCGATGAAAATGAAAATTGCAACCATGTTACAAAAAAAATAAAAATTGAAAGTTATGAGAGTGAAGATAACGTAAAACCAAGACAATCTAATGACAAGATGGAAAAAGAAGGTAGTGATGATGATAATAAAATGTGAGTTCTTTGGTATTGATAATTAGTTCAAGAGTTAATGTGTGTTGGCTAGTTACTCTTACCTGTAATTTTTTTCCCCTTCCCACTTCAATTTGAATTCTTGTATGTACTGTTATGTAATGGATTTAATCGTCCTTATGTCAGTCATTCACAAGATTCAAGACTTATTTAGAAGTTTGCTTTTATTTGTGTGTGTGTCATGAGTGGTTACTTTGTCAAATGTCAAATTTTATGTAATAAATTATTTTAAAAAAATGTTTTTAGACAACTGAAAACTGGGATCAAAAAGCAAAAAGTTGTGCCTCAGAGATGTCAAATATGTCGTCAACTTTTGGATGACCCCGATTTAAAGCTTTACCCAGGGCATCCTGATGGAGCGCTTGAAGAGTTTGTAGCACTTACAGATCCACGATTATCCTTATTTACTGGAGATGAACAAAATCTAGAAGAAGGTGATGAGAGACCGCAGAACAAATTAACACATTTTAGGTAATTTAAATAAGAATTATTCTTTAAAACTGAGGAAATTTTCTTGAGGATGGAAAAATTCTAAATTAATGGCATTGGTGTTTTTATTTTTGAAACCTTTCTTAAAAAATTGGGTCTAGTATTTTATTTATTGTTTGGGAAATATGTTGAAAGAGTTCATTATATATGTGTGTGTGTATGTGTGTGTGTGTGTAAAAATTACTTATATCAAAAAGTTCAGATGTTATTTTTGAATTGAATTAAGTTTTCTAAAGTGTTCTGTTCTGAGTTAATTAGAAATGCACAATTTAATATTTGTTTCATTTTAAATTTTTATAGCATTTATGATAAGGAAGGCCATCTATGCCCATTTGACAATGGTCTTATTGAACAAAATGTTTTTTTGTATTTTTCTGGTTACATGAAAGCAATATATGAAGAATCGTCTGATATTGAAGGTGTGTATGTATTTAGATGTTCGCACCTGTGCTTGTAACTAATTGAAGGGTTCAAGGGCAAGACATTATTACCAATATGGACACCTTTTGAATTACAGGATGACTGGATTTAAAACATTGACATTTCAAATTCCTTAGAAAAATGCAATGTGATGCATGCATTTTGCTCCACATGTGTGCAAATGAATTATTGCTGTAATGTATTTTGAATAAACTTGGCATTTATAGTGCGCTACTATCTCTCCTTCATGACAGTCAATAATCTTAATTTTACCCTAAATGTCAGATTTCAATACACTGAATGTTTAATATCTTTCACAGTGTTTACCATTTTCTTGATTTTTCCTAACTTTCCCATTAATTTGTAGTTTTCTTATCAAAGAATCGCTAAGCTGTAAGACCTGTGAGATACCTATGAAGTTTTTGTATTCAGTTTGATAAGCACTTTAAAAATTATTAATATGAGGTCTGGCTATTGTATATTGAGACTGTGTGTGCAGAAGGCATCCTAGAGGGGTTGGGAGAGAAGTGAATGCAGCGTTGGATAGCTGCAAGTGTCTATAATTTCAGTATGAAATCATGTTTTTCTCACTGTAGTAGTATTTGTTCTGTAGAGGTTAAAAACAAACATGTTTTGTTCTCGTGCTAATAACCATATATGACAAAAAACAAGTAACGAATCAACATGAAATTTCTTGTTAATTAAAAAAAGCAACTCTAAGTGCTATAAGTTGTTGAATGAGGCATATGGTGAGGATTCTCTATCTCATGCACGTGTTTTCGAATGGTATAAATGGTTTTCTGAAGGCTGAGAGAACACCATCGAAGACCAATGTTCAGGTCGCCCTGTCTCTGTTCCAACACTATAAACAGTGACCAAAATCAATGAAGTTTAGCACGGAGATCATGGTATGAGCATTCGGATGATTGCTGGGACAGTAAACGTTGATAAAGAATAATGTTACATGATGAACTAAAATGAAGAAAGTTTGTGCGAAATTGTTTGGTCAGAGGTGTGGAAAAACATGTCATGGATCTTGCACCACGACAACGCACACGCCCATAACACACTGTCTTTGAAGTATTATTTAGCCACTAGAGGCACTCCAGTGCTCAAACAAGCACTGTACTCACCCGATTTATCACCCTATGACTTTTTTCTTACTGAAGATCAAGTCTGACTTGAAAGGAGCGGTTTGAGTTGGAAGATGTCAAGTAAAAATAGGCAGAGCTCTTAAATGCTCTTACAAAAGAAGACTTCCAGCATTGCTTTGCCGAATGGAAAAAACCAAAATTGAACAATGTGTAGCGAGGAGAGGGAAGTATATTGAAGGGGAGCATTCGATTGTAGAATAATTTTTAAAATAAAACTTTTTCATAAGCAGTCTCATTATTTAATAGCCAGACCTCGTATAATATATACATATATAGTGTAAATATTTACAATGAATTTTAATTATCTTTTTATATTAAAGGTGGCATTCCAACAAAAGATTTGGGACCTATCAATGAATGGTGGGTATCTGGGTTTGATGGAGGGGAGCATGCTCTTGTTGGATTTTCTACTGCTTATGGAGAATATTACTTGATGGAACCCAGTGAAGAATACGCACCTTTTATGGAAGCTGTGATAGAAAAGATATTTCTTAGTAAACTTGTTATAGAATTTCTGGTGCATGAAGTAAATCCTTCCTATGAAGATCTGTTAAACAAATTACAGGTATAATTTATCTGTATAAGAACAGTATGTTGACCTTGAATATTTACCAACAGGAGTGTTCAAGTACTTTTTTGTTACTAAAATCCAGATTTTGCTTTTCAGACTGCTGTTCCTCCAAAAGGAATTACTAGCTTATCTGAAGACACTCTTCTGCGTCATGCCCAGTTTGTATGTGATCAAGTTTTAAGTTTTGATTCTTGTGCTTTGGCTCATGAAGATCTATTGATTACTTCTCCATGCATGAGAGCTCTTGTAAAGTTGTCTGGTGTTACAATTGGAAAAAGGTAATAACCCAACGGTGAAAGTTGCGTGGTTGCAAGCATGTTTTAATTTTCATACCATGTGTTAAGATCCACTTCAACGTTTGCATTTTTGAGTAACAGGGGACAAATGTTTTCATGTTATTAGCATTTCTTTTTGTTTGCAGATTAGCTATGCGACGTGCTGAAAGAAAAGATTTCAAAATTAGTAAACCAGCATGGACTAAAGCCACAACAACAGACCTTGTTCAGCAGAATTTTGAATCATATTTTGCTGGCCAGCTTGATGTAGATTCAGACAACAAAGTATGGACTGATGTGTGTTTTAACTAGTTGTTTCAATAATTCGTGCCTTTAACAATCACATTAGACCATGAAAAGAATAGTTTGAATTCTCTCTATATTGTAATTAAATATAGGTGTAATTGAATGCATACTTGTATGGTTCATGGTTTGTTTTTCTGTTATTTTTTAATGTTTAATTTTTGAAGGGGCCCCGCCGGCAAAGGTGTGGGGTATGTGAAGCATGTCAACATCCTGATTGTGGAACTTGTGTGGCCTGTTCTGATATGATTAAATTTGGAGGTACAGGCCGTGCAAAACAAGCTTGTGTGAAGCGCAGGTGAGCACAATAACATTTTATTGATAGGTTTATTTCTGCAGGCAGTAGAAATTTGAGCTTTTGAAGATTGCATAATTTTTACTAACTTAATAACATTCCTACATTTACTGATATATCCCTTAATTACTTTTTTCTCTTTTAAAACTATTTTGGGAACTCCAAGAATATCAGTGCAATATTCTATTCTGTATTATCCTGATGGGTTTTTAGCACCTTATTGTGCAGTTGTCATGTCCTAGTAAATTCATCTTTTATTTTATTTGTTTCATTTCCAAGGGCACCCACAGGGCACCTTCAGAACAAATAAAGCATCATCTTTCCTTCTGAAAGTGGTTATGGATCCATCATGAGCCCAAGAAAGTCTCTTGCCAAAGTTCTTGTTATCTTCAATTTAGAAGAAATCAGTTGCAACTAAAAAATGCCATTGATTAACTCAGGGCACTCCTGCCTTTGGGGTTTGGAGGTCTTAAATTAGGACATTCTTGGCTCTGAGGCGCCTTGGCAGCTAATTTCATAAATAAGATAATACAGCTAACATGCAGATTATATTTATTTATTTACTTTTTCATGCCAATCGGCTTTGTACATATAGGTAACAATTTATATATCACACTGCACAATCACATCCAATACACTATAACAATTTCTAAATACAACCAATCGATGCATATAATTAAATTAAATTGAGATTATAAACCATAAGTATCACATCATATCATTGTGTTTACAATCTTCGTAATAAATGTTTTAAACATAACACTATCTGTTGTGTATAATTTTCTTTATCTGCATCGAGAATGATGATGTGGATCCCCCCAAAGAAGTTTATGCTGAAACAATATTAATTTACTAGGTTCGCTATTCTATTTTTCGGAACATAATATACATAATTTTTAGTAGTCTTAATTGAATTCAGTAATCTATACGATCTCAAGCCAGGTTT